ATGGATCGTTAAGAGACTGCTTGAGGACGGTTATTCTGTTAATGCAACCATTAGATCTCACCCAGGTACCATCAATTTTTCCCCTTTAATTTTTTTTTGGTACACAAATTTAGATAAGTTGAGTATCAAAGACTTACTAAGATTAGAGTATGTTTCTAAAATCAAAGACCATTTATAAAAATACTTAAAAAATGTTCACAAAAAAAGTGATCTTTACATCAATAACAAAATTTAAACTCTTTGTAAATTATGAATTAAATTCTTATCACGTGGACTCAATCTTTGTTGGTATTTTTTTCCATCAAATTTAGTTGAATTTAAGTAAAAGATGACTTAAAGGGTGTTAATATCTAATTCTCATATATAATTTATACACTTTTATTTTGTTTTCTTTTCAAAGAAATAAAATAAAGAATGAAAAATATCCAATTACAAATTTCAGTTACTATTGTTTTTAAGAATAATGTAATGTTTAGTCCTTTAAGTACTAAAACTTTTTGAGTTGATTATGATTTCCCCTTTTGCATTGTAGATTTGAGCTTCCTCACAAATCTACCAGGGGCATCTCAAAAGCTTCAAATATTCAAGAACGCAGAACTAAACAATCCAGATAGTTTCAAGGAAGCCATTGAAGGGTGCATGGGAGTGTTCCATGTGGCTACCCCACTGGATCTTGATGACCCTGAAGAAGTATTGACAAAAAGATCAATTGATGGAGCATTGGGCATTTTAAAGGCATGCCTTGCTTCAAAAACTGTGAAGAGAGTTGTTTACACTTCTAGTGGCGTTACTGTTTCTTTCGATGGCAAAAAAGATGATGATAATGATGATGAAGTGATGAAGGATGAGAAATGTTGGAGTGACATAGAATATCTTAGAAGCTTGAAGACATCATTGGGATGGTGGTCTTATGCGATTTGTAAGACATTGACAGAGAAGGCAATGCTTGAATTTGGAGAACAAAATGGATTAGAAGTTGTAACTTTGCTTCCCACTCATGTTCTTGGATCCTTCATCTGTCCTAAGCTTCATGGCTCTCATCGCACTACCTTGGATTTGGCATTTGGTATGTTTTAGTATTTATGGCTACTTGTCATTATATGGATGACTATTTTTTATTTTTATTTTGGTTTTCTTCAATATAATCTTGCAAGGTTATGCCTTTAGTTTCTATTCATTAGGATTATTAGGGGAGAATAACCTTGCCTATAGTAATCATCATTCTAATATAAGCATACTTTTAATAATTTTATTTTAATATAATCATGTTTTGTTGACCATATAATCATGGAAATGGTCTCTCTCATATAATGATCATTCCATAAATACTAACAATCTAGATTGATGACCTTATACATGTTAATCTTTTCATGTCAATCTCTCTATCATTTGATTGCCCTTCTCTCACAAAAATTTATACATGATATAGTTATTATGATTTTTGTTCATTTTATTTTTCATCAACCCTATAATTAATTTCTTTCTTTTCCTTTTCAATCAAACGACTATAGATTTTGGTTGAATGCTCAGAATCTCATCACACACGAAATTTCTCTCTCTCTATCTACACACACATCAGTAATAGATATTTTCTAGTATAATATTATGAATCCATCTCACTGCAATTTTATTTCAATTAAAGTATATATTTAATCATTTAACTTTACATAACGCTTCATTTTAATCCCTTAACTTTATAAAATATTTTTTTAATTTTTTAATCTTAATACTGTTAGTTTTATCCTAATAAATTTTTACATTAAACTTTTAAATATTGATAAAATATTTTTAAATATTAACATATTAAGTTTAATTTTTTTCAAAATAATAATGATAGATACAAAAAATAATCATTTGAAACTAACAATGTTAGGATTAAATGACTAGAAAGATATATTGTAAAATTAAAAGACTAAATTAAAACTTTATATAAAGTTAAAGAACTAAAACTATACTTTAACCTTTTATTTATTTCTCTTCAACCATATGTCAAATTTTAAATACACGATTCTTGAAAGTTTTTTTTCTTTTTAACAGAAAGTCAATTTTAATCAAGATAAAGTGAGTTACATAAAATTATTAAAAAATAAAAGGTGAGTTACATAAAAACTAAGCCTAAAATGATTAAGTATCTGTTTAGATTTTAGTTTAAATATAACAAAAGTACATTTAGGGCATATAACTATTTATTAAATTTGGCAAAAGTATATACCAAATATAATTTGAATGTATTTTTAAAAGTTATTTAAACAAGCCTTAGACTGTTGTGGGTTGAAAGTTTATTTTTTGGCCAACTTTTATACATTCATGCAACTTTGCTTGTCACACTTGAGTCTTAAAATAAAATGCAGTGTAGAGTTGAATTCTCCCTTTATTATTATTTACGTTTTACTTTATCATTTTTATTTGCTCATGATCAAAATTTTGTTTGGAATTTAGGAAAAGTTGGAATTTCAAAGAAAAAAGAAAACGGAAGTGAAGAGAGGGCAAATAGATAGGAAGATTATAAGATTAGATTTAAAAATAAAAATAAAAAGTTGGTGATTAGCATATTAAGATTACTGATGATTATAGTAAATTGAATTAGGTGGGGGGGACGCAGGGGCTTATTTACAGACACCTGTAGTGCATGTGGATGACGTGGCAAGGGCCCATATATTTCTGCTTGAACATCCCAATCCAAAAGGGAGGTATATTTGTTCAGCTTGTTCGGTAACTATTGAAGACATATATGAAATTCTATCTGTTAAATATCCAGAATTTCAAATACCAAACAGAGAGTAAGTTCTCTTCATCTTCATATGGTTTATCCATATGAAAATTTGATTAAATGATAACTCTCTTATAGATATAACAATTTGACTCTGATCTTTTTTCCATTTTAATGTTCATTAGCTATTTGAAGGAAATGAAAGGTCCCAAATTTTCGTCTCCATCATCAAAGAAGCTCATGGACGCTGGGTTTGAGTTCAAGTACGGGGTTGAGGAAATAATTGTTGATTCAATTGAAAGCTGCAAAGAAAATGGTTATTTGTAAATGTTTTTATCATATATACGTTTCATATATATCCAAACAATTATGTGAGCTATGTGAAGTGTACCACAAATAAGGAAATTTTCCACTATATGTTCTTTTATCTATTAAAAATGAAAGGTCCCAAATTTTCAGATCTGTCATAAAAGAATCTCATTGACGCTGAATTTGAGTTCAAGGATGGGTTCCGAAGAATTAATGCTTGTGGAAGCAATTGAAGGTCGCAGAAAATATCTTTGCTCATATATATATATATATATATATCGTCCACGTCCAAGGAATTAATGTTAGATAATAAAGGAGTGTACCACCAACAAAAAATTCAATTCAAATAAAATAATTTTTTAAAGTACTGAAAATCAAACTTGACTTGCCACTTGATCATTTAAAGTCGTCGTTCAAGGAATGATGATTAAATTTGTAATTAAACTATAATTAAACCAATTAATATATTAATTTAACGGCTTACTTGATATGATACTCTTTCTATCTCTATATATAAAATATTTTTAATTAAATTACATGAACTAATAAAAATTAATTATTTAATTAAAAACATAACAACATTTTAATTTTACTCCTAATTATTATAAATAAAAAATAATTTTTTTAAAAAATAAATTTATGAGAATACCTATCTTTTTTTTAATTTAATAAAAATATAATAATTTATTTATTAAAAAATATTAATAATTTTTTATATTTGAGAATAAATTTTTTTAAAAGATTTTTTTATATGTAAGGATAAAAAATAATGTAATTTTTTTAAACTTTTGTATGGCCAACTACAAAGTGGGTACCTATTTTGACTGAATCATGACCGCAAATCACGGGGGGCTAGCTTTTTTGTCATCAGCTAAAAGAATGTTTGCTTTTTATATGGACACTACCTTCCCCTTTTTCTATTCTTCAATTTTTATTACAAATATCGTGGCTTTTTTTTTTTAATATTCTCTCTTCTCCCTAAATCATGAAAAGAGCAAGAAAGTTCACAGTGGTGGATCGAGAAATAAAGAAGCAAAGAACCGAGAGGTGCAATTAATCAATTAATCTCTGCAACACATGATTCACTAAATTAAGTTAAATAAGTGAATATCCAAGGCAAGTGCAAGGTGAATTACAAAGTATGAAAATCCAGTTTAACCATATTGTTAAACTATTAAATTAGTGTTTTAATTAATTTATAACTAAATTAATAAGATTTAACTCTAATTTTTTGGGCAAAAAAACTATAATTTTGATTATTAAATTTTATATCATACCTTGATTAATTTAATAATTGGCCCTGCTATTTAATTCTTTGAGAATAAATGAAAAATCCCCATAAAATTTACTTTTTTAATCACGGAAAGAAAAATTAAGTAGAGGTGGTGATGAAAAGAAGAAAAATTGTCCTACCTCAAATCCATCTATGAGGCTCATCATCTTGATAAGATTTGAATCATTTAAATTTTAATTTAAATGATTTAAATTTAATATTTTTTAATTTTAATTTTATATATATTTAAATAAAATTTAAAATTTTTTAACAAATATTTTATCATCAGTTGAAACCGTGCAACTTTAAGTGAGATGATCGAATTTAAATTTAATATTTTTATAATTTTTATAAATAATTTATTTAGATGTATTATGTACGGTATTGATGTAATATTAATTTTTTATTTTAATAAATATAATATTAAAAAATAAAGGTAATATTTTGATCGGTACTTTTCTTTTAAAAATATATTTAAAAAATTATTAATTAAAAATTTTAAATATAAAGGGTTCAAATAAATTTAAATAATCGATTTATAAAATTTTAATGTTAAAATTAAACAACTCAAATTTAATTTGTACTTTTGTATAAGCAATCATGTGATGTGATGGCGGAGGAGACGGCCAATTACAATGGGCCGTTTGTACCATAAAAGACGACGGCAAATAGACTAATCATCACTTTCTGCTGTTTCTGTTTCTCAAATTGAGAACCTTTTACACTATTCGAGCCTGTCTTCTTCTCATTCTCCGAATGGAAGAGGGAAAAGGAAGACTGTGTGTTACAGGCGGTACTGGCTTTATTGGTTCTTGGATCATCAAGAGACTTCTTCAGGATGGTTACTCTGTTAATGCCACCGTTAGGCCTCACCCTGGTACTCTGATCTATTGTTATGCTTATATATATATATATATATATAATATCAACGTTCAAGTTTTCCTTCTGTAATAACTATTAGTGTTGGAATATCCCTCGAGTATAGCCGTGGTGAATATTTAATTTAATTAATATCCAAAACTTGTCCTAGTTTTGTTCTTCCCTCGAGCATATTTGACTGATTTGGGGCTCTTTTTCTTTCTCTTTTTAAAAAATTTTTAACTGATAAATTTTCTCGAACAATTCTTGATTGATATGTTAAAAAAAAAAAACACTCTGTACGTAAGTAGATAATTAAGCTTTTTAATTCACTTTACCTTTGACATGTTTTTAATGCCTATTTACATTCAACAATAATTAGTATATTCAAGGGTCTTTGTCGGATTTAACAGTGTTGCTATAATTCATTTTAACCCCTTGGATATCAATATTTGTTTGGAATTTTTTATTTTTGTTATACGAGAGACCATACGAATCTCAAGAAATTAATCCTGAGAGAAAAATTCAAAAGCAAAAAGTTAAATCTTAGGAATGGGGACAGGAAATAGGAGGAAATTGAGATGACAAACAGATAAGAATAATAAAAAAACGACACAGTTTAACTTAGAACTTTAAAACTTAAGTTTATTAATCATTTCTCTTTATTTTATATTAATTATTAAACTTGAATTATTACTTGATGAGGGGATTTTTCAATATCATCTTAGATCTACTTACATCTTGAACTAACAATGAATCATCCCCTTTCAAAACGATACCCAAAGATTTGGCCATTTTAAGATTGTCTCGTCTGTTCTTTTCCATTGCAGAGCAGAAGAAAGATTTGAGCTTTCTCAGTAATCTACCAGGAGCATCTCAAAAGCTACAAATTCTAAATGCAGATCTTAACAATGTAGAAAGTTTCAAAGATGCCATTGAAGGGTGTATCGGAGTATTCCACGTGGCAAGCCCAATGGATTTTGAGAAGAACGAACCTGAGGAGATTGTGACTAAAAGATCCATTGATGGAGCATTGGGTATTTTGAAGGCATGTGTTGCTTCAAAAACTGTGAAGAGAGTTATTTATACTTCTAGTGCCTCAGCTAATTCCTTCAATGGCAAAGAAGATGAAGTGAAGGATGAGAGCTCATGGAGTGATGTAGATTATCTTAGAACTTCCAAGACATTTGGATTATGGACTTACGCAATTTCTAAGACGTTGACTGAGAAGGCAGTGCTTGAATTTGGAGAACAAAATGGATTAGATGTTGTGACTCTGATTCCAACTTTTGTTGTCGGACCCTTCATTTGTCCAAACCTTCCTGGATCTATTCTTTCTTCATTCTACTTTGCATTTGGTATGAGTTATATATACCTTGTTCCCGTCATTTTAATCACAAGATCTAGGATTTATTCATAGTACTAGCTAGAAAGAGCATAATTATACGTAACTAATGCATACAAATAGAGCAGCTTTTGCTTTTTGTTTAGAAAAAAAAGTTCATGTGAGTTAGTTTTCAAAAACTTATTAGAGTTAGGGTATGCCTTTGGTATCAAAAAAACACTTTCAAAGATACATATATTACAAATTGCTTATAAATAAGTCCTCACAATGATGATAATAAGATTTGAATTCATGACTTCATAGATTATAAGTTAAATTATTGCTAACTGGACTGACATTTGTTGGTTTGCAGCTTTTGCTTTTATTTATAATGTATGTGATTAATATGGATATTAGTTACATGGGTGCGCGCGCAATTAATTAGTCGTGCCTTAAAATTTATGTTTTTTTTTTTTATGAAAATGATTCAGGTGACAAGGACCCAATTGGCTATCTGCAAACACCTATGGTGCATGTGGATGACGTGGCAAGAGCACAAATATTTCTGCTTGAACATCCCAATCCAAAAGGAAGATATAACTGTTCAGCATGCTTTGCAACTCTTGAGAAGGTGTTTGAAGTTATATCTGTTAAATATCCTGAATTTCATGTACCAACCATAGAGTGAGTTCGCTTGTCCTTCTTCATGTTGTTTTACAAACATGAAAATTTTGTTGAAGTGATCAATGGCTGATGCTTGATCTTTTAACCATTATTCTTTTTTTGGTAAAGTCTTTTAACCATTATTCTGATTACTTCTTTTAAATTTATATAGTTCTTTGAAAGAAAGGAATGACCTGAAATTTCCTGATCTGTCATCAAAGAAGCTCATGGATGCAGGATTTGAGTTCAAGTATGGACTTGAAGAAATGTTGACAGATGCAATTGCATGCTGCAAAGAAAAGGGTTATTTGTAGCTATAAGTTAACTTTTCATCATATTGCCCAATAATATTATGGTATATGGAACGGGGTTATAATAATGTATGCGAAATGAAAATAAAAGCCAACCAAAGTTTTGGTTCAATATAATGAGGCATTTATATTTTGAAAGAACACGAGTTCAAATCTTGTTCTTGCATTATTGGTGAATATTTTGCAGGTTCATAAACACTCTAAGTTGTATGGTCTACCTTGTTAATCCTAGTAAGTACTCTATAAACTCACCGCACTTCTAATGTAAGCATGCAAGACTCAAGAGTTGAATGCTTAGATATTCATGAAAAAAAACTTACAGAAAAAAAAAGCATCACTATTATAAAAAAAACTTATCAAAGAGCCCATATTGAAGCACTTATTAAAAAAGAAAAAGCTCCAAAAGAAAATAAGATGGACACATACTGGAGCGTTTATAAAAAAAAGTGTTTCAAAATCTTAGATCTTTTGAAATGCTTTCCTTAAAAGGCACTTTAAAAGACTAAAAAATAAATAATTTTAAAGGGGTTTGTTGGAGGTGAAGGAACAGAGAGAAAGACATATTGTGTGGGAGTTCAAGGAGCTCAAACAGATTTAATCTTTAAAATTTGTTGTTTTTTTTTCTTTTTTTGTGGTTCCAAAGTGCTTCCATGTGGAAGTATTCCAAAACCATGAGCTTTTGGAGAGCTTCAAATTGGGTATGATTTTTTTAAAATAAATTATTAGCATTTAATATTATAAAATTAATCATAATATTATTTTGTATTAAATAATTAATCTATTGATAATAAAATAAGTTAAAATAATTAAATAAAAATTAAAAAAGTATTATAAATGATAATTTAATTACACATTAAATTTATAATAAATAAACAAAACTAATTTTAATCAATTGCCTACAAAACAAAATTACAAAAGCAAATAAAATTATAATACAATATTTTATAAATTATTTTTATTAATATTTAAATTAATTATAATATTTAAAGTGATAATATAAAAAATAATATATACTAAATTAACTAAAAATGAAATGATTAAAAATAAAATTATTAAAAAATTATCCTGACATATTTTAAAGGACATTACACCCTTTCAGAGTGCCTCTGCTTTTTAAAATTATTATTTTTGTAAATTTATTTTTTAAAATTATTCAAAATTATGAGTGTCAATGTCACTTATTATTTTATTTTTTTCATAATATTTGTTTTTAAAATGATGGATGTAGCCAATGGCTTTGTAGCCCAATGACATGGGAACTCCCCTATTATAAGTAGGAAATCGCGAGTTTGATCTTTCTTGTAGCATCAAGCCATGCCTCTTTTCTTTTGTTTTTTTTTTGAAAAAAAGATTATGGATGTATGGCAATCTAGTAGTTTCTACGCTTTATTTCTAACTTTTTTGACGTTCAAACTATCATATCAAGGTTAAAGAATTAAACCTCAATGATTGTCTAACAGAGAGTAAAGTAATTCCAAATTTTGATATTTTTAAGATAATTGTGCTATGCTACTGTCGATGCTTCTGTCCTGTTTCCCATGAATTCAAATCCAGAAACATTACTCTAGTTCTGCTAAATTGTATCAGTTGTTCTGTTAAAATAAGGTATGGCTTTTTGGGCTGAGATAAATACTACAAAACTGAAACTTAACTCTAACTTTTGCTTTGTCTCTCTATTCTTTATTTGTTATGAATATAAAGTAATCTACATGGTTTCTTCTTGTAACTCGTTCTGTCACTGCAAGACTTCGGGTTTAACTCGTGTACAGGTGCTGGAGAAGTATGTCATGATAAAGTTATTTATCTGTGTATTTACCAATGGATCTGATCAAAGAGGATAATTTTTTTTAGATTAAAATCTAATTTTATTCCTATATATATTTTTTAGGAGTGTTAGTTATTCTATACTCTTAAGTAGGACAATTTTTTTTTAAAATAATTTTTCAAGGTCTAAAAATGTTCTTCTGTTAACCAACCATCAGTGTTTTCAGAACCGGACCGGACATTGAACCGGAAAAGTCAGCGGTTCACGGTTCGCATGGTTCAACCGGTTGGACCAATGGTCCAACCGGTGACGTAATAATTAAATTAAAAAAAATTATATATGTATATAATAATTTAAATATAAGAAATACATATAAAATTGCTATTTAACTTAAAAAACTTAAATATTTTAAGTTTATTATGACTTAACAAGCTATATGATACACTATAATATCAAATGATTAAAAAAATTAGTCATTTTTTTAAAAAAATTTGATAAAAAATAAAAAAAAAGTTTTTTTTTGAACAGTCCGGTTTTTGAAAACCGGATCCGGTTCCCGGTCCGACCGCCGGTTCGAAACGGCTCAACCCGGCTCAACTCTGAAAACGGTTTTTTCCTTTGAACCAGACCGGAAACCAGACCGGTCGACGGTCCGACCGGTCCGACCGGCCGGTCCGGTTCGGTTTTCAAAACAGTGCCAACCATGCACTCCCCCGTTACCTAATGATGTGGCAACATGTGGGGCCCAAGCAAACACCCTTTGACCCTTTGACGTGTCTTACTTTCATTCTTTTGACTAGATAACCCACAAAATTGTCTGAAATTGGTGACCTTTGGGTAAATTAGAAGAGCATAAGTGACCTGAGCTTCAAAACCTATATGAACCACACTCAAAACTGCTAATGCATTCCTCAAACCTTAATGTTCTTCATCAAATTCTAAAGTAACTCTCATAATGAAGAGTGGTTTAGATCAAGGGTTTTGGCAAGGTATCGAATTTCATGGTTATCAGCTTTCGAGGGGAAACCATTGGCTTGCAAAAATGTGGTTTGCTTGGCCTAAAAGTCACAAATGGAGCCAATCTTAGGAAGTGAGGTTCTACAATTTAAGGTTTCTCACTGTTGTTTAAGGCAAGGTGAAGATAAAGTTTCAAAATTTGGGGTTTCTCATTGTCTTATATTTTAAATCAATTTGTGCACACCCCTTTCTCTAACTTCTCCATCACCATCGTCGGTCCAAGCTCCGCAACTACATCTCCCATCGATGTTGACCTTAAGTTCCCCAGTCTTCCTATCCACCATTCTATTCATGCATGTGGACTTTATTCTCTCTCAATCACATCTTCTTTCTTATTGGCTCATCAATCTCGGCCAGATCTCCATTTTGAGCTTAAGAGAGTCTTCAGCCACTTTAACACCAACAGCACTAGCCAAACCTCTATTTTTGAGATTGACAATGTTCTCAAATCCCATAGCCAAATGTTTGCTGACGATGACTTCACGGAGCTCCGTGATTAGGTCTAAAGATTTGTCATGTAAAATCAAGGAGGGAAGGTGGATGTTTAAATGAGAGTGATTTTGTCATATTCTTTTCTAGGAAAAAAATTTGGATCGGAGAAGCTAGAGTGCTTTTATGGCCAAAATAGATTGGCATTTTCTTGCCTATTTTCATATCATTTAGAGTGAAGAACACATTTAGTTATGGGTCCATATTATTGTGATGCTTTCCCTTCATCTTTTTAGATTCTACTAATCACTTGATGCTTCTTTTAGTTTTGGGTCCATTTGCTTCTCGAATGTTCTGAATTTATAAGGATTGCCTTTTATCTTGTTGAAATTTTGCTTGTTGGATTTGGTCCCTGTTCATTGTTCTTCTTTATTTTATTCATGGCCAATTCATCTTGTTAAGTGTTTAAAATGAGAACGATGTAAAATCCAATAGGAAAATGAGTATTCTTATCTTGTGAAAATAAAGAATTCATGTTTAGATGCGTGCTGTGGTTTGGAACTTTTCTTTAATTAACATTCACCCTATACCCTTATGTGCATGTAATCATGAATTTCTCTCCTTTAAGTAAGATGCCAGCTCATATGGTCCAATTGTCAGACTTCACATATTAGAAGCTATTAACCTCTAGAATTTCATGTTATTTTATCAAATTTTTCTTAGATTCTAATCCATTTTGGCTCAATTGTATATGTTTTTATTGCCTAAATTAGAAAAATATGCATTTTATTTTAGTTTTGTATTCTTGGGTTTGATTTGACATTTTTGCCCTAATTTCATCTTATTTTGATTGAAGGTTCGATTAGAAGCATTTCTGAATGTTTTTGAAAAGGCTTTGGATGAAGAAATCAAGCACAAAGTGAATAATTTTCGTTAGCTAAAAAAACATTGTAAAAGTGTCAAAGCTATCTCAAAGTTGTGATTTTCATTCATGATTTTCGCCATTGTCTGAAAAACACTGTATTTTATTAAGTTTGAACTTGGTTGGATAGGACACATATATTTAGAGAGCTTGACCCAGAAGTTATTCTACTCACTTTTAGACACATTTGGAGCTTGGATATGCTAGGGTTTGGGTATTAGAAGTGCTTGATGTAACATCCAAAAAATTTTAAAACTCAAATTTATTTTAAAAAATAAAATAAAATATCTATAATTAAATTAAAATTTAGAATAATTTAATAGAGGCTCAGAGTTTGAATTTTACTAAGCAAAAGTTTGGTTTTATTTGATTTTTAACTATGGGAAAAATTACCAAAGTTGACCCGGGCTTTTGTACAATAATAAAAAATGTTGGGCCATTTCTTGTAATTTTCTCCAAACTTTTAGATCAGCTTTTATAAGGGGAAAACAGACGCAGAAACGCAGAGAAAGGAAAGGAAAGGAAATGCACGAGAGGGAGAGAGGAAGAAGAGAAGAGAAAGGGAGGGAGTTAGGCTTGGATCTAGGAGTCTTTGCAATCGTTGCGAGCTCGGCTACACGATAGGTAAACTCCCTACTTCAATCCTCTTCTCTTTCTCTTAATTTTCTTCAATTTTTGGAAGAGGAGATTTTTGGATTTTAATCCCAAAGGCTTTATTCTTGTAAGCTTTTATTTCTTTGGATCCTAAGGAGCATGTTTTGAGTTTCTATATAGTGATCTAATGTTTTGAGTGGATAATTAGATGAAAAGAGGTGTTTTGGGCACAAAATAAATCATGAGAAATTGGGTTTTTTCTCTTCAATGGTTTAAGCTTATTGATTTAGTTATAATTTTGCTATTTGAGCCCAATAAGATTTAAATTAAGGTTTAGTTTTCATTATAAGGGCTAATGGTGAAAGTTGGTGGCACTAAGTAAAGGTTTTTAATTGATTAAAAATTATATAAATTGAAAACTAGCCTAGTGATGGCTAA